CCATCGCTACTAGGTTGGAGGCCGTTGCTAGCAGGTTGGAGGCCATCTCATCACATCACGACGCAGGTTCGACTCTTTGAACAAAAATGCTATGAAGCAATGCTGTCAGGCTGTAAGGCTCCGTGTACTCTGGAGTTTACATTTGTACCGAGCATACCCCAAAAGCTAAACAGGAGGCTGGTCTTAAAACTCATTGAATTTGACTTGATAGGGTCTATACAAGCTGAATTCTCAAAAAAACAGAGGCTGTCCGTGCGTTTTCTGACAAACAATCTCTGCATTCGTGTCGAGTATGTGCGGTCAAATGTCAAACCATAATCAGCAAGGACGTTTTCCTTAGTCGAATCTCCCAAGCAAATGCCAGCAAAAGGATACGCAAGAGCTAGCACCACAAAGCAACAATCTAGAAAACACAACATTGCCCCCTCTAGAGGTCAGGTAATGAGGATAACACATCAAGCAAATCCTGCACAATGAATGCCTGTGTACACTCCCCCAGAATGCAGCTACGAAATTTTTATGAATGTGATTGAATGTGCGGTAAAGCAAACACAGTTTATTCAAGGCACCTCATCACCATCATCACCTGCTGTCACGGACCAGGCATCCCCAGCATCGTTGCGACGCAAGTAGACGACCTGACGTGAAACAAGGAATTGACGCAAATAAACTGACTAAACGCCAACAAACGCTAACGTAAATGGATCGAATCGGCGCATGTGAGGTCTTTCTGACATGGCCCATCAGGTCTGGGGTTTCTATCTTGGAACACGGGGACTACTCTAGACCCAGGTGGTGTTCAGTGTCGGAGGCGTTTCAAAATCAGGAGTTTTGCCCGAGTCTCTCTGAACATCTGCAGTGAAGAAATTATGAAAAACTATGGCTTGGACTGTTGGCCACCTGGTGCTGGGGCTGAAGGTCAGGTACCTTCAAAGAACCCACAGGCACGCACCGTACAAAGTGTTACAGCGGGCTCAATTGCCACGAGTTTGCCCCACTTGAGTAATTACTGTGTTTCTGAAGAAGCGGCAGGTTCTTTGCTAAGTTGTCCACAATGGAGGCACAAGTTCAGAGTTTTGCTTCGTATCTAATCAATGATGTTTCGAATCTTTGATGAAGCAAGCAAGCAACATGTTATCATTCGCTACAAGTGTATAGGCAAAGGGTTTGGTGTCAGATACTCAACATGTGGACGACTCAATAGCATTGGGCCAGCCTGCCTTTTGGCAAAGTAATCACCAAGACCAAGGGGATCAAAGCCTCGATGACGAGTGATGACAAAGTAGCACCGCGACAGAAGCCCTGAAAACAAATCAAAATTGATCTCTCTCAGTGTTGTATTAACACCCCTTGAGAAAATGTCTACTCAACTGGTCCTGCAACAAGCGAAGACTGTCCATCTGTGCTTCGCATTCCACATTGCACCATGATGCACAATAGAGAGGGTGATTTGACAACTGATAAGCGGATCAATGTGTTTAACCAATGGAAGACATTCTGGCCAGGAGAGACGGAGGCTTCGTGCCAAAACTGTCCAAAACGAGACTTCTTTGAAAGGCCATCTTCTCGGAAAAGAAAGGGAAGAGTGGTGTGAAAGTGCACCCGATTTCGCCCTCCGTTTTCACGCGTGCGTCAGCGCCGTCAGCTCAAGGGCCGTGTAAACCCAAATGGCAGCAGAATGTACCATGGACAGAACTCGGCTGCCAAAACCCTGCTGCCAAACTGGCAGTCGTTGAAGGATCTTGCTGCGCAAGCTGCGAAGCTCTTTCCAAACGCCGTCGGATTGAAAGCGGCAAATCATCCAAGTTACTTACAACATTCGGCCATGATGCTGGAGTCTCACTTGAAGATCTCCTTGAATCTCTCGAAGGTTCCGACTCTGGCTCTCCAGTCCGTGGTCGAACAGCTCTTGGCGATGGCCCGGCTGCTAAGGACGCAGGTCTCCGGCGCGCGGTACAGATCTCCGGCTTCGCTGGTGTCACCTCCATCATCTTCTCCTTCAGGAATTTCGCCAAAAGGTCTGAGGGCCAAGATGCCAGATGTCTTCTTCATCCTCCGGAACAGGCGAAAGTCGTTGCAGTGAATATGATGGTCCTTCTGCAGCAGGCTGAGGTGGCTCTTGTCCAGCCTCTTCTTAGCCTCTCATGCGTGCATCTAGGAATGTGCTGACTTGTACCTTCTACAATTTCACCTGCTACACTTGGATCACCGTGCAAACTGCTAAGTGCTAGGGCCTCGGATGCACTTGCTGGTCTGACGTTTTGGGCTGCTACGAAAACAGGAACATTACGACAAAGCAACCGTAGATTCTTTTGACCCTCTTGATCTATCACTCTTGCAGGCGGCGACCACTGAGTACCTCCACGTTGGTTGTCCCCACGAAACACCTAGATGGTCGAAGCGTTTCTGAGTAGCGCTTTCTGCACTCTCCGGGAACAATCCAAATGAACAAAGGCTTTGTGCGCCTCCATGCGTGCTTGGCGTTGCAGTGATGGGTCATACTTAGAGTCATACTTTGCTTCGATGGCTCCTGGCTGTGCCCATTGTACTAGAACCCATTGGCTTGGTGAAAACCCTCCGACGCGATTCTGCTCATTCTTCACCAAACAGGCTTGAGACAAAGCGATCTCAACCTGTGCTCTGCCGTGAATTTGGATTTCACGGCAAATCTTGCGGTACATGCCTTTGAGCAATCCTCCATGTCTCTCAACACGGCCTATCCCATCAGGGGATTCCAGCGAAGTGTGAAAAACAGGAATGTTGCGCTCATCCATGTACTTTTGCAAAACTCCTCGATTATGCAACCCTCGATCGCAAATGATCTGCGCAGGGTGTCCGGCCCACGAAAACCATCGATCTTGCAAAGCTTTCAAAAATGCGCCTGAGGAACATTGTCCTGCACAACATGCGCCAATTGAAATGCGGTCCCCGCAAATGTTCAAAACCTGGATCTTGGCGCCGTCGATGTCAATCACCTCAAGCATGCAGGTCAATACCCAAGGTGTGATTGAATCTGTAGTCCCAAGGCAACTGGGTCTTGTGTGTTGGCCGTTTCTGACTGGTGTCTTCATACGTTTGGCAACGAGCTGCACGGAGAAGTTGATCAAAACCTTGCGAGGAAAATGCCCAAACTGATGGCGCAAACGTCTCACACCAATGCTCCTCAAAAGGTAGTCCATTGGCAGTTCATCAATGAACGAACAGCGTTGCTTGCACCACACGCGATGAGTCGAACGGCGCGGACAATCTTGAAGTCTGCGAGGCAGCAGGGAGGCAGGAAATCGTGTATCCTGCGCTCCCTCAGTGCAAAAACTCCTGGCAGTTCTGGCACTTCTGACCCAATAGCGGGTAAGGCGGCGTCGCCTTTGCTGAACCCTTCTTCAGTGTCGAATACCATGGGGCGCTCGACCGACGACAATGTCACACGATCTTCTGAGTCGAACTCGCGAGGTGGCGTCGTTTGCGCGGACCGTGGACGACTGCGCCTGCGACGTGAACCCTTGCCTCGATGTTCCGGATCGGAAGGCCATCATGGCGTCTGCTCTCCGGGAGTGGCGGCAGCTACGCAAACTTGCAACCAGGGTCACCTGCCCAATGTCCGATGCACCCAAAATGAAGACACATAGACTTGGACTTCAACTCACGAAGCTTGGCGCGGCGTTGCTCAATGCTCGTCTGGCTACGGACAACCTTGCCCTTGCCTTTATACCTCTGAAGCCTTTCTTGCTAAAACCTTTACCTTTGCCTTTGGCCTTGCCGAATGCGTTGAATGCAGCAAGCTGGAGTTGGACAGCTTCTCCTGCTTGGCGATCGTCGGCCTCTTCAAGGTCACACATTGCGTTCAAGGCAATTGCTTCTGCTTCATCTTCAAGATTGATAGTCGAACTCTTGCTCCTACACTTCTTCCTCATCATCAAATCCATCTCCCAACCAGGCGTGGGAGTCGCCTTCATCGAAGTTGGTCTCCAACGTTTCTTCCATGGTTTCCCATGTCGACGACGAATGCTTATCCACTTCAGGGTATGAGACATACGCAGAACGATATGTTGATTCCTGAGCATCATGGTCGAATCCAATTCCTTCAACACATTCCACCAGCGCTTAGCGCCGGTTCTATAGGACAGCTTGGACTCACCGGCTTGGCGAGCTAGAGGTCCTCCATGCTTTTAAGCACGGAACAACTCCTTTGCTTCCTCGGTGGACGTGGGAACACGAAGGCTTTCATCTTCTGCAACAAGTCTTCCAATCCTTCTTCACTGGTCAGGGCATCAACTCCGACGTCCCTTAGCGAGGAAAAAAAGGGCACCTCCACGCAATCCTTCGAGGATCTTGTTCACAAGTGTGCTGATGCCTGGCTTGGTGAGGACTACTTCATCTTCATCTTCTGGTTTGACTGCAGGGAAGCCTGGGAGATCTGCGTCATCCTCAGTACCTCCATTGGGCATCTCTTGCTTCTTATTCGATGATGGGGACGACGACGGGGCGCTTTTCCAGGAGTTGGCCTTCGGCTTGTTGTTTTTCTTCCACAAGCGGGTGCGAAGGCAAGTGCGAAACTCCCAATCATGGAATGACGCGGCGTCTCCGTAGTAGATGTACGAACCAGATTTGGTCTCCAAGTGAGTACCGCCTGCTGAATTCCAGCAACCAACATTCCGCGTCTGTCTGGCCTCAACGGACAATTTCAAGAACACTTGGTTGCAAATTCTCAGCACGAATGCGCGAACGAATCCAGGATCGGCTTTGAAGGGCTATCCTGGACGCAGTGGGACGAACCCGAACCTGCTCCTCTACCAATGTGAAGCGCGCCCGATTTCGCTGCCCAACTGCGTTTTCACGCGTGCGTCAGCGCGGTCAGCTCAAGGGACCTGTAAACCCAAATGGCAGCAGAATGCACCATGGACAGAACTCGGCTGAACACAACATACGTCCAACAGGGAAAATTCACACTGGTTTGACCACGAAACTCAGTAGACTTAGCTGAAAGTGAAAATCATAAGACTCCTCGAGAATCGAGGATAAGGCAAGGGAATGCGACTGCAGTGAGTCTGACATTGCGAAGGATTTCTTGACCAAGAAGCAGAAGACAGTTGAGAAGGGGCTGGCGCCTTGTGTGGGTCGCAGCTCCTGAAACGGGGAATGTGGAATAACAACGTCATCGACAAGAAAAGGGTGATACCTTTTACCTTCCGTAGGACACAAAGGAAAGGACGAAACATTTGGTTAGCAAGAGGATGACCGTGAAAAGGCTTGCGAGTTGGCCAAAAGTGGGATGTAGACACAAAAGTACTACTGTAACTACTCAAAAGGAGAACACATGGCCGGCGCAAAGGAAGCGTTGACAACCAATTATAACTTAAAAGTCCTGCGCCTTGCTTCGTTTCGCAACAAAAGGCTGCAGGGTACGCTTTATGTTGTTTCCATGTGGGCTTCCACTAGGAAAGGCCCCCAAAAAATGCAATTAAAGTCAAAAATAAAAGCAACCAAAAAATGCACAAAAAACGGGCTAGGTTGATGCAATCCAAAAAATGCACACCAAAGTGCAAAAAATAGCTAGATTGATCCACTGCCGCAAAAAAGGAAGCGCGGACTCCTTCGTGCTCTCTTTCTCTCTCTCTCTCTCTCTCTTTCTTGCTTCTCTCTTTGTTTCTTGATTTTTCTTCTCTTTTCGATCTGTCCGTTGGTACAGGTCAATTGAGACAGAAAGAAAGCGGGGGTTTGTGTCGGTGGCGGGTTTGAGGTGGGCAGGTAGGCAGCTGGGCAGGTTGCGCTGCGGGGCTTGGCCTGGCCGGGCGGCTGCGGGGTGGGCAGGGCGGGGACAGGTGGGCGCGTGGGCGGTCGGAGTGGGGGCGGGGTTGCGGACAGGGTGGCGCAGGGACGGGGGGGGGGGGGGGGGGGCGTGACAGGGGTGGGACAGGCAGACCCTGGGAACCTGTCCAGGCAGCATCTGAGAAGCTAAAAAGTGAGGATGTCTCGAATGAAATGCAGCTAAAAAGCGAAAAATGTGCGAAAAAAGGGCAAAAAACATGCAAAAACAATGCGCCGAACGTGTGGGAGGGTTGACCTGCCAAAATTGAAACGCAATAAAAAAGCGAAGTAAAGTGCTAGCTTTCGGCTTTCCTTCCTCCATCTTTGTGGACTAGAGGCCCTAGGCCTACCTGGGGGGGTTGAGGTCTTCCTAGCGCGGCCATCATAAACTCCTAGGTCCTAGACTCCATATAGACGGCTCGGCGGCTATATATATATATATCGTATATATATATATGTATATTTGGACCTAGGGGCATCCATTCTAGCAAGCGCATAAAAACACGTTCTACCATTCAACTAGTATTACCAAATCACGTTTGGGATTGCCTGGGCTCTTTTCATCCCAGTGGGTTAAGATTGAACAGCAAATTCTTCTGTTGGTAAGTGGTTGTCACCTCAGAGAGCTTGCACCTGGGGTTGCATTTTTTTGCATTTTGTTAGGCCGTGTGTGTCTTGTTTGCAGTTTTCCTTTGGGTTGGCTTTGCTTTTTTGTTCCTTTTTTCATTTTTTTGAACCTAGAACAAGCCCAAAAACACATCATAAGGTAAGCTGGGATTGCTTTGTCAAAAAGATTCCTCTGAGGGCAAGGCGCAACTATCGTATCCAAAGAGCATAGCGTGGATGGCTTGGTTCAGTTTGAAGCTATAATTTAGGGCTTATGCCTTAACAAGCACACTTCCAGAAGAAACTCACACGTTCAATATTTTGCCAAAGGCAAACAAAACCTCAAAAGCTCTGGGGGGGCTTGACTTTTGCATTTGAGCTCGTTTTGCACCCAGCGCCGAAAGGCAACTGTGTTCTCAAGGAAAATGAAAAACATTGAAAGATTGCTGTGGCACTTTTGCGACCGGAGCTGAATCTGTGAGAATGTCATATGTTCAAACAGTTTTGCAATGTTTGAACTCAGTGATCTTCCACGCGTTGACTTGTCTTTGACGGTCACTTTGACAAGCTTTTGGCAGGCTTGTAATGTCTTGTCCAAATTAGTAAAATAGCACAGAATAGCTTTAAAAAGAGCCAAGTTATTCCCACCCCCTGAAAAGCTCAATGGGACGGAGTAATAAAGAGTGCTTTTTGTAGAATTCTTGACTTGTCATCTACTTACTACTACTACTACCACCACTACTACCACTACGACTACGACGACGACGACGACGACTACTACGACGACTACTACGACGACTGCTGAGCTTTGCTTGATTCACGGAACTCTGACCTGAAAACCGTTTTAAAGCTCTTTATTATGGTATCGGACTGAAAGATAGAGTGCATGCCCACTTTCGATCACTACAGACAGAAGGCCGAAAATTGGCTCGTCCGGTGCAACGTCACCAGACAGAAGTCCACTACTTTTAGACTGCCGGCTTTGGGGGTTGCAGCGTTCTATCTTTCAGTCCATTTGTATACAAACATAAAAGCACATATATATATATATACCAAGAGGATCCAAGAGGTGAGATGCAGCAAGCACTGTTGCAAAAGCGGGTGTGTTTTCCCTTACGCCCATTCTGTTATATGAATTCTGCGCAGCATTCTGGAGAAACACAAGTTTAAGTTCCCCCAGGGAAAGCAGCCATGCGACCATGCTCTTCGGTAGGCAGACTCAGAAAAAACGACATCAAACATGTGCATCAAAAATGACAGCCCTTTGGAGGAATTCTGCCAAAACCCCTACAAATAGAATGCCTGACCCATATTTTTTGTAGGCATTCTAACCGGGTGCTATTTTCGGGATTCTAAGATCCCACGTTGCAAATGGGTGGACACGCATTCTATCTTTCAGTCCGAGACTATAAAACGATTTCATTGCCCCAAACATCCCAAACAATTTTTCAAGGGGTAGTACACAAGCCTCGGGTAAGTGAATAATACGAATTGTTTAGGGGGTGGGATTAATAAGTAATCTTGGAGCCCTAGGACAAGTATTTACAATTATTTTTGGAATTTTTTAGATTGCTACTACTACTGCTACTGCTATTACTACTACTACTACTACTACCACTACTACGACGAAGACGACGACGGCGACGGCGACGACGACCACTACTACTAGTTCTGTCCAAGTACTAGCACTAGTACTTGTCGTACTAGTACTAGTAGTACTAGCAGTACTAGTGGTACTAGGAGAACTAGTAGTACTAGAGAGGGCAGCGCTGTGAGCGTGTGCATTTTCTGTAGTACTACTGTATATAGTACTATAGTACTACTACTACTAGTATTAGCACTAGTACCAGTACTACTAGTAAGACTAGTACGACTAGTGCTAGTGCTAGTACTAATTAGTACTACTGCTACTACCTACTACCACCATTACTTTTGTGGTAAGATTTCTAATCCAACCTCCCTCGATTGTTTGCAAGGAGGAAGGTTATGCTAATTAAGATCCAACATCAACTGCATCTGTCTGCGAATCTGTTGGAACATCTATTTTTGGCATATGCAAAGAATGCAGGTCTGTTGATGAAATAAGTGTGCATTGACGTTCAGGTATTGTTCTCCATTAGAAGGTCGCTTAAGAACTGTCAAATACTCCCGAGAAGGTGTGGCTCGGAGCAGAGATAGATGGCCTTCTTGAATCCTAGTTTTGGTGTACCAGTACTAGCTATATAAGTATATATTCCTTAAACGCGCACTGCGCGCAGTGGGGGAGGCTTGAAAACTCATTCCAACTTGTCTGTACTAGACCATAACTTTCTGCCGTTTTCTGTCCTGTGATGCTGCCAACCACACCCCGTAGCAATGGCCTGTGAGAGATGAGGTGCTCGTGAAGAATCTGCAGCCATTCTTCCTGGCCTGGGGGCTGGAATTTGAGCTTTGTTTTGGCCAAAGATATCCATAGATCCTGAGATCACCAAGAAGGAGAACAACACCTTCTGTTATATAAATGAATGGACAAATAGTGGCTGGAGTGGGAAGTGCTGACCAAAACCTCTCAAACAGTCGAATGTCTCAAACCAAAATTCTGCATGGCGGATCATTACTTCAGTCACACAGAAATTTGTGTTTCTCTGTTTTCACAGGACACCACCGATCGATCTGACAAGCCCAGTTCTGGCAGGTGGTGGACGGTCAATGTTCATACCCTTTCATCAATATAAGCATTATGATCAACGAAAGGCTTCCCACACCTTCACACGTGTCGTAGTGTAGGTTTCCAGGGGAAGAATACTGCAAGTCATTTTGAACTTCAAGAAGTGCAACGTTTAACACATTCAAACAGAACTTTATATATATATATACAATTATATACATATGTGAATGAATGCCTGATGTGTTGGGCAAAGGTTGTGCGTTTTCTCCTTGCGTGAGCTCATGTTAACCAATAATAGCACACAAGCAAGAAAGGCGGATGGGCAAAAGATCAAGGAATAGCAAGGGCCTCCATCATCCTCGTGAAGTATTTAGTCCAGCTGCCAACTCTTCCAACTGTCGGTCTTTATGCGCAGGCACGAAGGGTGGCAAGGCATCCCAGTTGATATCCTGCCGACACGGCTGACGTCCACTAAGTGAACCATTGCACAAAAGAATTGAGCAGCATGACAAACAAAGGATAATAATAAAGGGTACACTTGTGAAACCTACCGAAACAAATTGATTCGGGCCCAAACAAGAAGGCAATGTTAAATAGTTCGTACTCTGTGCATGTTCCTTAAATAACAGCCTTAACGTGTCCAGGGTAGGCGCCCAGAACTGAACTGCATGCGGAAATGTGTCCCGCGCTGTGCCTCGGGCTGTGCAATGCAGCTTACTTCTTTCTGCTTCTCAAGCGGAAGTTGTCGCACGGACACAAGCCTGGATTGCTAATTCAGAACTTGCAAGAGCTCTAGATTGACTGGCATGAGGCCAAAGTCTCAGGTCAGAGGCTCAGTGAAGCTAAAAGTCTGCAAGTATGGCGAATTGGTACGCTTTACTAGGTTCAAAGCCAATGTGTCAAAGGCCTTTATTTACTAGCTCGTAGAGCCACTCGACAAACAACCCCCTCAGCCACACCGCCTCCCACGCAGCATCACCACACTCTGTAGCCCATGCGCCAGCCTCTCATACCAGGATCTTCAAGCTTCAGAGCCAGTGATTTACAAATCCAAAATGTTCCACAAAGGCTGAAGCATGTCCAAGCAGGCTGGTTGGACCGTATGGGTCGGTCAAAGAGCCAATCTTGCCGAGTGACACAAGCACAAAACCCTATGAAATCATTATGAAGTAAATACCCTACTCCTTTCCCAAGTACGGGTGTGAAATCTGCGTGCAGTCCTGGCAATGCTTTCATCAGATCCGTCTGGATTATCAGGATTGGGACAGTCCTGGGCAGCGTAAAACTGGGTTCTTAGCACGAAGCATTGTACAAGTTACATCTAGGTTGAGCTGTCTTACAGAAGTTTCTGGACTGCTTCCCTGCTTCACATAAGCCTTTAACACATGCAAGAATTCACCCCCCTTGTCAGCCTCTCGCGTTGCTGGGTAGGGCCCTGCTGTCCATTTCCATGTCCTCCAGAAAGCCGAACCAGATCGGGATCATATGGATGGAAACGCATCTTGCTCAAACTACTTGCTAGTCTGAGTCTTTCGGCTGATCTATCATTCTGTCCATCCGGAAGAAGCAATTGCAAAGGAGGTTTCACGGTAAAAGTTGTATGCTGCAAATCATATCCTATGGCATCTGGCCCAAAAAACGTCGCAAAATGGCGCTTCTCCTCTTGGTGTTGGACATTTTCTCCAAGATCTTGGCTCGACTTTGGAGCTCTGCCTGCCATGCCAGGCACCGTCCAAACTCTCCAGCTTCAGGAGTAGGTGCAATGAATGCATATCGGAACCCTTTGTTTGTTTAATCCAAAAGTAAGAGATTGGGTGAGCGGCATGAGCTGTCGTGGAAGCTAGTCACAACCTCCATGCTTCGCTGAGAAATTTGAGACACCTGAATAGTCAAGCGAGCCGAGTCCGTGCTCCTGGAGCTTTCCCAGGTTTTGCGATTTGTCCAGCTCATGGATTCTAGATCTTGATAGAAAGTTAGGTCTCATGCAGGCCAATTCCGGGCGTGGACAAACACCATCAAAAAATCAAAGCAATTGTGCATGAAGCCAAGAAATGCCGAGAACTCATTTGCGTCAAGCAGACTGTTTCACAGCAAACTACAGTCTCTCTAAGTGTGCAGTTGCAAACTGGGCCGGATCCACCTGTGCAGGACACTTGCTAGCCGCTGCTTTCAGCGGTGCATCCAAGTCGGTCTCTTTCATGAAGGACTCGCCCTACAAAGCGTCACAGAAACACCAAGGCAGAACCAAATGCAAAGCAAACCGCAAAGCAGCTGCAAGTTCAGCGAATCTTCGGAAATCCTCAAGTACATCGCTCCAGTCGGCTCCATTTTTCAACTGTAAAAGAGGTTTTCCAGAGCTCAAAAGGGTTTCTCATCGCAACAAGCGGTCTTATCATCGCTGATCTCCACCTTTCTTTTCGACTTGCGTGGTGTTCTGGTCTTCAACTCCTTGGCCGGACCCCGTTGGACCAACTTCGCCAACTGCAAGTGACGCGATAAACAGGACAAGTTTAATTATGTTTATGTTGATTTATATATATATACATATTTACTGAATCTACTATTTTATTGAGACATAACTTCACACAATTTCACTGATCTGGTTGGAGATGAGCTGCCATAGGCAGCTTCGGCCCTTGTGGCTTAACGAGTTCCTTTGCTCGATGAGGCTTCTCACGTTGACGCTTCTTTGGTGTCTTTCGTGGACTACCTGAGAGGATTGAGAGGTTTGCTTCCAACATCCCTTTCAACTCCCAGGGGAGCAGTGTGTGGTTTTGTCAACCAAAGAAAACACACAACGATACACAAGCATAATAAGGAACATAGTGCATGGTGCTCGAGACAGCCAAGGAACGGCGAGTTAGAGGCCACAAAGCGAATGAGATTGGGATCGACATTGGCGCAGCAACCACATCTGCCTACAGAGTACACCATAGACATCTGACAATTAATTACTCAAAAGGGATACGCTCTGCATTGCATTTGGAATTCTTCTCTTGACGACGTGTGGGTCAGAACCTTGTACCCCTAACAAACATTGTTTGCATGGGCGTGCTCACCAAAGTTAGGATGTTTGAGGGAATCTAGAGTCTAGATTTTGGCCCACTTCCCACACCTCCACAGAAGTCCATGGAATTCTGTGGAAATGGTTCTTGTGGGCACCATTCTTGAGAGCCTTCGCTGACTTGGCTCCAAGGCGTAGCTTTGCCCGCGCGGGCGCCCAGCGTGGCTGGGACAGACCTTATGTCAAGTGCTTGAGGGCGGCTGGTGGCTGATGCTTTGAGATGGAGGCTTCCTTGATCTAAGGTCAACTTAGTCTCGCTGCCTTCCCAATGGAACATGCAAATCCAGCCATTTATGCTTGCCCAGTTGAGCAGGATGATCCCAATACTTTGGGCTCACGCCAAGTTTGGTTGCCCAAGCTCCAGATGACACAAGGGCCGACATAAGTCATGGACTCCATGGACCCAAGCAGGTCTTCCCGTTTTTGCTTTTGAGATCTTTTGAGTTGCTGGACTTCCAGATACAGTATCCTGTTGGCCAATGGCAACCAACAGTCTGGCAAACAGTCTTACAATCTGGCAAACTGGCAAGAACTGTTTCGGGCTGTGCGAATATATCTTTCCAGGTCAAGCAGAAATACCCCAGAGATTCATTCGTTTAGCAAGTTGTTGCTTTGCATTATGCCGGTATCGTTGAGGTCCTGCTGATTCAGTGATTCCCATGAAGCCTGGAAAATGGAAGACGGCCGCGAATAAAAAGCGAACACCGTCGGGCTATTCTGCCATTTTGGTTGACTTTCCACACTATCTTACGGCTGAAAGGGAATGCCATGGAATGCCCCTCAAGTGCGAAGAACCCACTTGGCAGCTGAATCACCTAGAACAGCGCAGCTGTTACAGGGGCAAGAAAGCGGCCGGAAAACCTGTGGACCAGCTGGGATGAGTTGCTTGTCAACTCAGCTGCTGTGCAAAAGGGAGATGAAGCAAAATCTGGGTGGGCCAATACTATCAAATGATACCCAACCTGCAAATGTGTCTAGAGTCTAGTCTACGAAACATGAAGCACAAACTATCTCCCAAGTTTGCAGTGGTCACAGGGCAGCCGCAAAGAACTGAAAATTTTCTCGTGGCCTGTACACAAGGAGCCAATTAACTCTGAGTTGTCCAAAGAGTTCATTTGTACAACAAAGGTTGGCGACTCAGAAAACCACACAGGAAGCCTTTCCGAGCCTAGTGAGGAGCGAACATGAAAAAAACATGAAAGGTCGGCTTCACAGGTTGACCGGTTGACCTAAATCCTCATTGCATTGACACATCCGGTGGTTTGGCAGAGTATCTGCCTGAAGTAGAAACACTGATATCACTGATATCTGATATATATATACTTACTTTATCTTTCTAATGGGTCAACAAAGGAAATATCAAGCAAAGACACTGGTTCCAAGATCCGTCGGGTAAACGGTGTTGGAGCTGGTCTCATCATTCGGCCACCTGCCCCAACCGGCAAGATCAGCAAACTTCAGCTTTCAGGTAAACAAGTCAACTGTTTATATAGTCGTAATGTGTGGTCATATTATGAGCTCCGTGTTCTAGCCCTTGAAAAAGTGTCTGTACGCTCAAGCATCCCGCAATTGACCAATCCAATAAACATGATAAAATCTTTGGTGGCTGGGGTTGACGCGGGCTGATATTAGCAGCTCTGGGCCTGGGATGTTGAGCATGGCATACCCAGCTAAGCCTTTGAATGCAAGAGGCTTGACAGCTTGACAGCAGAACACAGCACAAGCTTGGTAATGTGCCTTGGCCATTGAAGTAGATGGGCACTGATGGGCATCAACTATTGTGCTGATGCATACTGAAATCACAGTCCACGTCCAAGCTTAATAAAGAGGCGATCAAACGAACAACTTGCTGTTAGAAAGCTGGGCCAGTGTTAGCCCTGAAGCCAGTTGGTGGTTCATTGGAACGTCTTATTCGGTCAAAGCTCTGAGTGGCCCGAGTGTGCTTTGAGGCAACAATGCCTTGCTGCTTCAAGTAGCTTAAAGTCCCGAGCGACCTCACGGCTGTTGAACCTGACAGAATACTCATTGCGGATACACACAAAGCTGTAAAGACCAAAGCAGTACTGCAACCCAGTGCAAATACTCAAGCACCATCCCTTTCAGATTCATAAGCATTCTTGTTTAATTTGGAGTACCTGAGCTCGCCCAAACCGCCTCTGCAAGCCAAAGTCCCTCCCCCCAGCTCCAACCTCGTCCTCTTCTGGATCAGCCGCCTGCAAGTGTGTCGTCCTGGCGTAGCAGGCATCAGATGAGCCGTGTAAAAAGCCATGTGGGTCCCCCTAGTCTAGCGTGTTTGATTGGCTTTGGTAGGTATAGACCCTTACTATTCAATAATTTTTGTATAGACCCTTACCTTGGTCGCCCCACCCCCACCTCTTAATGTTAGTGGATATGTCAGGATTATTCTGTCAAGTGGACCAATTCAATCAAACCCGATGTGAGCGAAAGTCATACCACCGCACATTAAAATTATATGGTGGCAACAGGCTGGATAGAAAGATGTTTGTTCGGGGTTGATTGATTTGTGCGTCTACTGTAGGTACAGGTTTACACAAGGGCTCTCAAAACACTCAACAATGATGAGTCGGGCTCCTTGTTATTGTGATTGCTCATGCGTCAGCGAGTTGCATTACAAATGCGTGAGGTTGCGTAAATATGTTCAAAATCAAACCAAACACATGGAGAATCTGACGTTGCCAGGCCTTTGGGCCTTTGCCCCACCGTCGCTGCTTGCGTTCATCCGGTTCCGTGTTCAGGGTCCTTGGACTGAAAACTCCACAAAACTGTTCAGAACAGACTTCATTTTGTGTGTATACCGTCTACATTGCATGGAACAGTCTGTTTCGAGAACCATGTACTACACCTGCTCCAGTGCCACCAAGCAACGCTACCTCTGCTCGCTTGCCCCTGCCCTTGCTTAGACTGGAGCACATTGGGCCCGGATCACCTGTCGTAGATAGAACATTGCAAAGACAAAATGGGAAAGTCACCGTGTGTTAGGATTTTCCCCTGTTTCTGTCAACTTGAGGAGGACAAAAGAACATGTAAAGTCTATCAAGCAAATTCACTGACCACATACAAGCATGCATGCTGAACCAGTATAGCATGCATACGACCATAATGTCCAGGACTTCAATAAATCATTAGTTGCAAATTCAGGCGTGATTTGTCTTTCCAAGTTTCAGAGCTCCCCAACTCACTCTCAGTCTCAGTGTTGCGCAGCATTTCTGAGGACCCCTGCTGGTAGCACACCCAAACTTTTCAGGAAGAACCTGACCATTCAAAGCTGCCTTGAACCGTGCCAGATTTTCCTGCAGCTCTTGGCAGGTGAACAGCAGGCCGGCTCTGAAATTAATAAAAATCGAGCTTCCCTTCAACCCACAACCGCACACAAAACCCTCACAACCCTTGATGCATCGGTGTCCTCTCGAGCTAGCTTGTGATCCACAATAGGCTTTGGGTAGTCCTGCAGCCGTGATGAGTATTCCAGCATAGCCAAGCTGCTGAGCTAAAGTACAAACCTAGAGTCCAGAGTAACCTAGAGTGTGTGGATTTATCCTGAAAGATTATAGAATATTACTATTCTCCCTCTTCTTCTTCTCATTCTCCCTCTTCTTCTTCTTCCTCTTCTTCTTCTTCCTCCTCTTCTTCTTCTTCCGATTCCTCTTCTTACCTCTTCTTATTCTGATGCCCTATGCTCAAAGTTCCTTTGGCCAGCCCACAAAGTGTAGACTAGACATCGAAACCTCCCGTCGTCTGTGGCTTCCTGCATGCAATATTGCTACCTCCGAAGATCTCTGAAGGCAAATATGTGGCAGCTTCGCAGATGGTCCTATTGCCCCAAGTGTTCTATGAAACATAACATGTCGATCTGAGCTGATTGATCAGACTCTCATGCCACGCTGAATTCATGTGATGTGACTCTTTTCTTGTTGGCTTAGTTTGTTGCGGGGTGAGCCCCGGTGTAGGAGAAAGAGGAAAGCAAGAGAATCAGCCACTTTCGTACAAGTAGCTAACAAGAAGCTACTAGAGACTGTACGCAAAAGAATCCTCCGCATGATTCTTTTGGTTCCTAGAATTTTGGTCTATTTAAGTCTCTTTATATCCTTCTATACTCTTTATTGTTTCTTTATGTCTTTCTTTCCTATTATTTTTTTGGAGGGTTATATAGAAGTCTGATATTAGACCTGGGCTAATTGCATCACATCTCAGCATATATATATATAATTCACAGTACTCCCTGGCAGTTCCGGCTCCTGACCAATGATGCAGCCAGCTTTCTTCTGCTCCGCCAACGGTGCAGTCCACGGCTTGTCTTGGCAGTTTTCTATACTTAGCAACGTGTAGAAGCCTTCACAATCACAAAATCATGCAAGGAAGATCAAGTAGTTATTATGTACTACTGTTTCAACAAATTGTGATTTGTAACAAAACAAAATGCAGATAGAAGCAACACCATCAAACACCAGTGCAGACTTGGCACACAAATATTTTGAAGGCATCCCCTTGAGCTCTGGGACCTGACATTCGCACTGGGCCGTGTGTCAAGTGGAGACCAGTGACATGTTGGGTTGATGCCTTCATAATCGGTTTTTACGTCTTCAAGTGTTCAGCAGCTTTCAAGAGATTTTCACATGTTGTCACTAAGCACTTGGCGTAATGCTTCACAAATTCGCCGGTCTGCTCTGCATTGAGGCTGGAGTTAGGTCCAGGACATGGGTCCTTGGAGGGAGTTTGACCATGTATTTCAAGGGGTAAGCAAACGCGCAGCCTTAAGCAACAAGGAAACTGCTCGGCACAAATCGATACGAAGGCTAGTTAGAGACATGTCATAACTAATAACATCTTTGTCGGGCCAGACTCAGGGCATCGCGTGGAAAAAAATACAAGGCAAATTTGTCTTTCCAGCAAATCCAAGAATCATCCTTGAAACTCTTACAATGCAGCTGTTCCTTTCCACATTCTATTGGGTTCTAACGCTTGTGGTTAAAGTCTTGCAAAAACGCCGTGTGCAAGGCCGCCAAGCGGCATAGATTCTGAAGTATGGCGCCGAAAAGGGCGCCACACCTTCAAATCAGGCAGGTTTTGACGAGCAACGATTTCATCCATGGCAACCCACAGCCAGTTTCAGTCTGGCGATGGATCTGAACCACTTTGAAAACTGCTTTAATGACACTTGTTGAAGAATAGACATTGTTGAAGGATTTTGAAGGCCAGTCTTGCTGACAGATTCACCACTTGTGGCACTCCTGACAAAGGGTCACCGATTGATTCCTCGCTCCCCCAGGAAGCACTGCATATTCATAAGCTGCTAAGGCCGGGATGGTGCTTTGATGCTGGTTCCTATCGCCGTTCACTCCAGCCTGCCAGCCACAACCAATTGCCTTGAAGTGCGGTTCAAATCATGACAAAGAACTGCAACAACTGAACAAATTAATACACATTATATATACATAATTATAAATAATGTATAAATATATAGACTGGCATCAAACCTCCTGCAGCACTAGCATTGAATCATTGGCTCAAGTACTAAAGCTTCAGAAATAGCTGGATCCGCCTGAGTTGCGAAACATGTCCTAACAGCCCAAGACGCCATTGTTCAGCGCCCAGTCTGCATCCAACAGGAGCTTGTCGAAGACATCTCGGCCACAAGTCCAGCTTTGCCACAAGTCGCCTGAGACCACGGCGTTGAAACAAACAACATCAAGTTGCTTTGAAACATCGAATAACTATGTGTTTTGATGTGTTGAAAACTCTGACACGAGAAAGGTGTTCTGTTTGCTTTGCTATATCCGGCCATGTCCCCCACCTCGGGTCAAGAAGCAAGCAACAGCGTGTCGGCCCAAGTGGTGCATGTAGCCTGATGTATGTGATTTGTGTCAGCAACAAACACCAATCCTCTTCGGCTTGAAAGCCAACTACGCTAGCTTTATCTGGTGTGTCTGCTGTTACCTTCTTTGCATTTGTTACATCGTTTGTGCCGGCGTTGAACGGCTTGGAAAGAATGCCTTGAAGCAAATAAATTTGACTTGATGAATTCAGCACTAGACTATATAAACCATTCATTCAGCCGTCCAAACCAATCTGCCCGTCTGATTTGGCCCAGCTTGCTCCGACTTGCTCCGACCTGTCTGATTCAACTGCCGCATCAAGGCATCGATGAAAGGATAGCCTGTCCTCCCCTCCTGCAACGATGATCATTGTGGCCCATTTGTGAATTGATTGACTTGTTTACCGGCAATGTTCTTATCACAAGCATGGGCTGGTCCTGCCAAGCTTGAAGAAAGACGGGGTTGTCTCCCCAAGGTATCGGCTTACACATCGAGTTCCTTGGGTGTAAATAATTTTCAAGGCGACACAATATCGCAAATCTGTCTTGGGAAGGTGAATACCATCTCAAGCCAAACATGCCACCAGACTAAACAGCTCAAGTTCTTTGGGCGGCGGCACAATTTGCTAAGTTCTCCAATGAGGTACCCCTCATTCCGGTCGAAGTTGGGCACGGATGCGCCCAGGAGGTAAAACATTTCTCGGAAAAGCATCCTTAGAGCAGAAATTTGGTCACGTCTTCCAATTGAAGATGCCAACGCATTCTTGAGTGGATGCCATGTTGAAAGAATTGAAGCCTGCTTGCGATTCATGTTTGCATGTCTATATTGATATATATATATATAGTGTTTAGTTTGTTTTTGGCAAAATGAAAAACATGAACTTCCGGAAGAGTGCACTCTGCAGTTGTGTTTTGCACTCATGCAAGCTTTAGTTTGGATTGTTGCTATTGGCGTTAATTTGTGTGAGTGGGACCGTTCTTCGTGGGAGTGCCCACATGTTGGTGAAGTCTTGGTGCGCTGAATCCTCGAAATCTATAGGATGAGGTCAAGCACGGTGTTCATCGTTTTTCTATTTCGGCATCATGATTTCATAGTGGCAGCAGAACAGTCTTTTTGTCTTATACAAGTCTCAAAAGTGCCAAGTCTCTGCCCATGCAGGGATTGCGGAGGCTCAGAGTGCCTCTTTCCCCGGATGCATTGGTCGATGGCATGCCATGCAGTGCGAACGGAGAGGCAGCCAAACTTCAAGTACGGCGAGAGACCTGGCGGCTCACGGAACAAGTGTTCACTTGGCAAGTATTCTTGTACTGGCTCTGCTACTAGGAGCAAGGACGCTACTAGGGGCTCCTGGCATCGCTACTAGGAGCAAGGACGCTACTAGGGGCTCCTGGCCCTACGACTAGGAGCAAGGACGCAAACATGAAACTCCTTTCAGTAAACTAAAACCGCTGTCAGGTGATAGAATCTTCAGCAACCATCATCTGCCTGTTGGTAGACTGTACAAATCATTTCTTCCAGCGTTACAATCTGTAAAACCAATCCTGGTTTTGCCCACTTCCTGGAAAGAATGCATTGTTCCTGCGGGCGATGTTTGTTTGAAGATTCCATGCAATACATAGAATTCCAACTGATATCATCCCTCCCACCTCTGAGGAAGCATCCCAAGCCAAAACAATCCCAGACATCCCTCCAGCCTGTAGTAGAGGGCTCCCAGGGACATCCAGGCCGGCCAGTGGAGGCTGTTTTGGGCTTCTCAAACTGGCAAACCTCATCCAGATTGTTTCGCAGAACAATAAAGCAAAAGAAACCATCTCATCCAACACATGCCTTGAACTGACAAACAGTACTCTGATGTTCTCTGCGACCAAAAAAGCAAGGAAATAAACCAGCAGCATCGAACACCCAAGTCTTGTTCGCCTTTCACTCTCAGGTCGTGGCATAGTCGGCATCTGCACAAACATGACGAAGTCGGCTCAAAGCCTCTTGCTCACCACCTGGTCGGGCGTTCCACACAGTATGTTGTCGGCAAACAAACAGCTCTATTATGCTTTATTAAATGTAGTGAGGCAACTGGCAATAACTCCCTGAATCACTCTACAACATTCTAGAACTACGGCTCCACTTCACCAGGATCACTCCACTGGCTGAGTTGGCAGGTCGTGCCTGGGAAGCCGGTGCTTGTTGGAACCTCACTGTAGATGTTGGAAATCTTTGGTACCTCGAATCCTGTGAAGGAGATGCTTGCAAGTCCAGGGTTCAAACAAGTCTACTTCAAACATCTTCTACCAAAGCTTATACTGACGACCTCTTGAATGCTCTTTAGATCTTGCGGGATAAGGCACAAAAGGCCAATCTTGCGCAGGAGCGTCATGCCACGGCTTGGGTGCATCTCCCAGTTGTAATTATACTACTAGGAGCATTCTTACTACTAGTAACAAGACGCTACTAGGGGCTCCTGGCCTTCCTACTAGGAACAAAGACGCTACTAGGAGTGTTTCTTTTATAGTTCATAACGACTTTAGCTCAGTCATACGTGTTGGCCAACAATGATCGGAAGTGTTCACCGAGTTCCCCGGAAGTCCTTCTATGTTCAACGGAGGAATCTTCGGGATGTCGAAAGGTTTTCGGATGGGGCCAGCAGCGGTCATGATCTAAGCCAACCAAACAATTGACTCAAATAACAAAGCCAAGCATATAATAAGTATCAAAAGCATGTTGGCAGGTGCCCGCGCTGGGCAGCTCGTTGGCATGACTTGCATTCTGCAAACACTTGCTGCCCAAGGTCGCTTTGCATGCTTTTCATTGAAATGGGCGGTTTGAATTTTGGATTGGCCACTGTGGCATCAATGTCGAGCAATGTGTGCCCTGAAAAGCTCTCCTTGGCTGAGCAGAGCCAGCGAAAAGTGCTCTGCAGACAGCAAGCAAAACTAAACCTGATTTGCGCGCCCTGTTCCCAATCTGGAAATGATATGTTACTTCGATATACTTCGAGTCCAAGAAACAATCGACACTCTGTGCTCCTCAAGTTTGCCGGGCATGAAAGACAAATCATGCGACACATGTTCCGGCAGGCAAATCTGGCCCGGCTTGAGAATGTGCAGGTTGCACATATGTCTCAATACATACATTTGCAGTCTAGATCTTCCTGAATCATTTGGTACTGAGTACTGGAGAAAGGCCCTGAATGAATGTAAAACATGTCTGAAACCGCTAACCTTGGCCAGGCATTCCACTTGGACATCTCGAGAGCGGGCATAAGGCTCTGTGTCTTTCTCGAAATACAATCGAGACAAGCGCACACCTGCCTCTGGGCTCGCAGCACACAGGTTTGGTGTGGTGGTTGAGTATCAAACTATTCAATAGCTTGTCTCGGCACTGACATGTTGCAAAAGCTTTGTATCTATCTGAACAGAGATCACCTCAGGAAAGTTCCATTGTAATCTCTTTGTAAGTCTGGTAAGGATCCTACAAATAGTCTAAGAACACAAAATGATGCAGAAGATGTGTTCCAGTACCATGCAAAGGGCATGAAACTGTGGAACCCACACAAGTAGAACAACTGCTTGAACATGCAATAAACACATGCAAAAGCATAGTAGTTACTAGTTGATCATCATATCCGGCATATCTTGCACCATCTTGCCTTGCCATTGAATAGATCTGCAAGAACTTCGTGTGGACGACCTTGACGACAAGCGATGCAAAGCAGTGTGCAAAACTGATCGCCTGGTTGAACATTGCAAACACCTAGACCACAAAAGACCACATACCCAAGTGGAATTGTCGCAGTGAAAATGAAGCCAAGGTATTCCTGTTGGTGACTTGTCCTTGGTTTGTTTTGAGTTTTGTTCTTTCCCTCTTGGTGATTCATTGAGATTTTGGAGCCCATGACAATTTGAGCCTTGTGCTGGTTGTGCTGTGCATTCGTGTAGTTATTATACTGGTAGTTCCCTTTCAGGCAAAGTCTGAATCGCACACACGGATGCGCAGTCCGGCATAGGCATGTTGGTGGCACCAGTATCTAGTGCACGCGACTGCTTCTGTGGCCGAAGCAGCACGCCCTATAACCGCACGTGAGTTGACGAATGCTCAATAGTGGCTACCCTTTAGAATGTTTGCTCAAGAAATCGGTAGACTTTGAGCTTGGGCCCATTAACGAATTGTCAAAACCGCCGAAATCACCCACCAAACCTCCAAAAACCGGATTCTGCAGATCGCCAAAGGCCGACAGCAAGGGGAGGAGGAAGTGGGGTAGCAAAAGAATACTTAGCAACATCATGCAAAGGAGCAGAAGAACAGGTGCACACACAGTCTATGGCTGCGTAAGAATTCCGGATGTGAACAACAAGCACTTTCTTCCTCGAGGTGTTATTCCTTCCCCAACTCTGACATTAGCAACAGCTGTTTTTGTGCAGATAATTGGCTGCGTGCCTTTAGCAAGAAACTCCAGAATTGTAAGTGGGACGAGGTTTGTCCAGGTTTCTCTTGAGGGTAATTGTTCTTGTGCAGTTTCACATCTCCTTCTTTGTATTTAGGGAGTGTTTGACTGCTGTTAAACAAAACCCGGAAAAAAGCACTGGAAAGCTACAAAAACAACAACCATCAGCAAACAAGTTCTTAAATCCAGCATCAGAGCATCGTTGTCACAAACAAGCCGAACTATGCAGCGGATGCGTGAGCAACAAGAAAGCATAACAAGCATCATGCAACAAGGCTCGCTCATGTGGTTTGATTTAGCTTATGCCACTTCACGACTGCATGGAAGGTGGCCCTCAGATTTAAGAACCAGAGCCGACCTACTCATGTCTTGAGGACTTGGGGCCAGACCTTGAAACACCAAGAGCCGGCTTCCTCGAAGGCGCAGCTGGGCATCTAAGTCCTCAGGTCTTGACAGTTAAAGCCACCATGCAGGAGCACACGTGTTTATTTTTTGCGTGTTTTTTGTTTGGGGGGAAGGCCGCGAGAAGAGGTAGCTAGTAGCTCAAGTAAGCTACTACCTAGGACGCAGGATAGCTCACGCTATTCATTTGACAAATCATTTGACTAGATGTTGAGGGAAACTTAGCAAATGCCCAGAGGCCAAATCTACTTGCTAGTCTTCCACGGGTGGATTTCGGATACTAGCTACAGTGTTGTTTCTTGGACATGTGGCATCTTTTGGCTTTCCAGTGTTTGTTACTTTGATGCTTTACGCCGTCCTGCAAACTCTGGAGCAAAAAGGCAAACCTCAGGAGTTAAAATGTAGAATCGCTTGGATCTCTTCACAGTTGTGCTCTTGCAAATGCCATCCTCGACCATCAAACCACCAAGCCTTATTGAGAGCCTGGCCTGTTCACCCCTACTGCACTTCTATTGAAGTGCGGGTCTAGGATGAAAAAGGGTACCACCTCGCTGAAGGCGCAGGCCTCACAATCATTACTGAAAGCAGCTATGAAAAGCTTCCCTGAACTGAATAGATTCATGCCAACAAAAGTCACTCACCTTGACCAGTGCTTCGTTGTCATGGAGCCGAAGGCATTTCCGAAACCAGACCCCAGCAGCCCCAGAGGATGCTGCCATTGGGCAATGCAGCACTGAACCTCCAACACTCAGTGTTGGTACGATCTGCTAGAAGAGATGCTTGCTCCATGGGTTCGATGTTCTACAGCCATGGAAGAAACAAACTGTGCAAGTCATTGTCATTGAGTTTTGGCAGACTGCGTACTGGAGGGAGTGAACATCTCAGTGGAAGTGTCTATTACTTGGCCATTACTTGGTGGTGTCTCAAAATATGGGACCCCCAACTTTTGCGTGTTGGAAGCTCTCCTTCTTTCCTGCGAGCAAGGTGATTGGGGAGGGAGAATGCTTCACCCCGTCCGTTTTGCTCTGGGGTGGTGTGCACGTTTGTATTGTATGTATTTTGTCGTTTCGGTCATACATACCCTCGAGGGAGGGGAAGTGTGCGCGAGTTTGTGTGGGAGGGAAAATGCTTTATTCTTACATACTTCTTGCTACACTTGGCCTCCCTTGAAGCTTTGCAACGCTGCAGAGGTAAGACATACACGCAGCTGATGTTTAAAAGAAAGGCTTCCCCCAACCAGTGAGTTCCTATTGATACGCACCTATATGGACGCTGCAAATCCACAGGTCTACCAATAACATTCTCCGAAGAGCCTGCTTGATAGGCATAGGCACTTTGCACACTACAGCTCATGTGGAGATGCCCCACATCACTTGGTTCCTTCTACTCGCTCTGAATGGAGGATGTTTGCCTCACGATCTTGGCCATGCCCCACATTCTTCAGAGGTTCCCTTTAAGGGACCCCCACCTCTGCTTGGCACTTTATAGTGGCCTTAAAATCGCAACAAAAAAGCTTTGTACAAAAAGGTCAGCCGCGTGACCACATCAAAATCAAAAACTCAGATTCAGCGTCTCAGCATGGATAAAGCCCTGTCGATCTCCGATTCCATGTTTGTGCTAGCCGCGCCAAATGCAGAGAAAACCATTGGCAATGCTTTTGCATTCTTATCCATGGTTGGCCACAAAATGATATCCTCCCACAGGGTTCTTGCAATCTGCATTATATTATATATATTCAATTACTGTTGGATTGAGCAAAGGAGCAGATGGAGTCGTGGAATGTGGAAGCAGGACTTTTAGGTATGCTTCTACAAACATGGTTGGAACGGACGGACACAACGGAAAATGTGACGGCTTCCCGTTGTGAGTTCACGCAAAAAAGGAAAATGGATGGAGTCGTGGTATGGTAGATCATTGTTGAGCGGTCCTGATTCCAACACATGGAGATATCAAAATCCTCATCCCTCTTGTGCCACAAGGAGTCAGGACCTTGCGGTTGGACCTCATCCATTGGCTCATCAGGCTCTTCGCCTGGGCAAACCCAACGCTTCGAACCAATGCAACCAACCAACTGGAAAATCCTTTGGCGGAATCCGCTCACTCTGCTTGCTATCCAGGCTGCTACTGCGCGCTTTGCGGAAATGGCGGGGCAAACGTGATTCCAGAAGTGCCAAGACCCAAAGCATTTTGTATTTGGACGGCGCAGACTGTTGTGCGCTGTTGCCGTAGATGTTCAAAAAGCCTTGGGCCAAGAACAAACAGTTTTTCGAAGGGTGTGAGTTTGTGATGTACGCTTTCTAATGTTTTTTGGGTAAGTGACCAACTGAGCACCAACTTGCCTGCATTCATGAAGCAACTGAAGCAAAACCGTAGACACTGAGACGCGCGTAGTCTCGCTTCACTCGAAGTTAAAGTCTATGTGTCTGACTCTGCGTCAATACGTGCCCAACAACACGATGTCCCCAATGGAAGAACGATAGCAGAGTCTTTTTAACATGGTTTTTGCAGCGTTTTCGGGTGTGCCTGAGATATTGTCGTCTCATCTGTCCTTTAGTTCGATCAGTTTCACTTTCGACCAACCAATCACACCAAGAACGATAAGTGATCAACACTGTCTGCAAAGCGAATTGAGAAATCCAAGCGTCTAAAGTCCGAGGGCTCACTATAAAATAGTTTCAAATCCCCGCAACAACCACAACAACAACAACAACAACAATCACCACCTCCCAAACAACAAACTTTGTACGCGCTGAGCCATTCATGCTGCGATCCATGACATTCGGCCACCACATGACATGGTGTTTCAGATTCCCAACAAGAAAACAGGCCTCTAACATGAGTAACAACCAATTCTAATAAATATATCGTGTGTCTATGTCGTGCCACCGACTTGCATATGAGCATGCAGCTGTATAGGGAGTCACACTTTGATGGCATCCCGCCTCTGCACAGATTGATGGAGACGGGGTACCACTAAGACCGTACCGGAGACCTATGTTTTGAGCGTGGATGCCATCAAAGTGTGCTGCGTTGTGACTCTGCAGTTTGAGGATTCCGTCGCCCACATATGAACAGCTCCTTTTCGTGAATACTGAGCTGTTGCTGAACCATTCAGACTCAGGACATCCTTCCATCCAAGTGGATACAAAATAACAACATCAACATACAGTACATATAATCCGCCGACCCCTGCTTAGCCCTTGCCTAAGCGGGGCGGCGCCAGGGACACCGGAGGGTGGAACGGGTGGCCAGTGCAAACGCAAGCCCCAGCATGCCACGTTAAGCAGCCACCCCCGCCTTCAAAGCCCTACTGCGTCGGCATCACTCCTGCACTGGCCAAACAAAGGCCGCAGCTTGGCTCAGAAAGCTTTTTCTATGCCGCAGCTTGGCCCAGAAAGCTTTTTCTTGGGCTTCCGAAGGCAACGTTAGAGACCCACGGGCCCCGCCCCCAGACCCCTCTCGGCAGCTGGCAGGCCTGCCTCCGTTCCTGCAGGCCGCAGCTTGGCTCAGAAAGCTTTTTCTATGGGCTTCCGAAGGCAACGTTAGAGACCCAC